CGCGACCCCCGCCCCGCGTGCGCTCCCGGGTTCGCGGACTCCAGCACCGCCCCCCACTCTGCTAGCGAGGACCTAGCCCCTTTCATTGCCTACTGTGCTCGCCGGCCTCAGACCACCCCAGGACCCCAGCCCCACCCCACCGGCGCCCCCAGACCCCTTTCCGAGCCTGGAGCCCCAGGGCGCCCCCTCCAGGACGCGTCAGTATCCCACCTGTGGACCCGGCTTGCCCCATCCCAGATTGGACACTTCTTCACCTTTGGCCCTGCGCCTCCCAGTAGCAGCCTCCCCGGGGCAGAGTCCCCTGGCGGCAGGGGGCCAAAGCAGGCTGGGCCCCGAAAGTCCGGATGGACGGACGCACAGACGGAGGTGTTCGTGACTGCGCTGCTCCAGCGTTGGGGGTTGGGGACGGTGAAGGTCGTGCGGCGACGCCAGCGGCCCTGGGCATCTCTGCTCACTGAGCAGTCTCCGTGTGCCCAAGGGCAGGGAGAGCGTGGAGCGCTCTGCGCATGGGTTCGAGACTTATGGCCCTTGGCTTAGTCCCATGGGAACTGGGGCAGTGTGGTACTGCGTTTGGGATCCTTGTGGGGAAAAGCCCCCAAGGCTGTTCAGGGATGGGTTAGTGCTCTGCAGTGGAGGAGGCATGAGGCTAGCGACCTGAGACGTTCCTGTGTCCTGCATCCGTTCCCCTCTGCTGGGGCTCAGAGAGGCAGGCTGGTGTGTTTGGGCCACCTGCTCCTGTGCCAGCGTCCCTGATGGCACGCTGCTGCCCAAGGGGGACGCAAGCCCTGGCACTGCCCGAGCTCAGGCTCCTGGAGAAACCGGCCGGCCGGGCCAGGCCTTCTCATCTCTGGGTGTGGCGTGCCCTGACATGGCTCCCTCCCAGCTGCCAAGCCGGCCGGCCTGGGCAAGGAGGGCCCTTCCGTCCTCCGCTAGCCAGGCCGTGTGCGTCCTTCCCGTGAGCCAGGCCTCTCTCAGTCTGTGCTTCCTTCAGAGGCTGCCAAGCCCAAGGGACCACGGCCCCTGTGGGTGTGAGCGTGTGTGTGGGGGCGGAGGAGCTCAGGGCAGGATCTGAGTGTTGGGGCTGCAGGGAGGAGACGCTAGTGTGAAGAGCAGTGAACCTTTGGTACTTCCTGTGTTCTGGCCTGGGACCTGGAGGTGGGACGAGATGGGGAGCGTCTTCCTCTCTCAGGAAAACAGGCCTTTGCTCTGGGGTCGGACAGACGGTTCAGGGAAGGACCTGCAGAGGAGGCTCTGAGGGCCTGGTGCAGTGGAAGGGGTGTGGGGGTGCTCTTCCTAACTGCAGGGAAAGCTGGACCCTGGGTCCCCTGGCTGCACAAGGTGGCCTGGCCAGCTGAGCCTGGGGATGGTTCAGATCGGCACTGCCCCACCCGGCTCCCGTCTAGTGGGGGGTTTCTCTGAGAGGGAGGAGGATGGGGTATGTAGGCCAGAGGCAGCTCCGGTTTGAGGCTACCCCTAGGTCCCCCGGGACAGGAGAGAGGTACAGAGCGCTAGGTAGAAGCTAGCCCCCCAGGTGCCCCTGCAGAGGTGGGAGGTGGTGAAGCAGAGCCCTGGGTATGAGGCTAGAACCCCAGACCTGGGTCTCCCTCGCAGCACGACCTCTTGCAGGTGGGGCTCTAGGTCTCTAGGTTGCAGGGGACTCGAGATCCCCGAGCAGCTCATGACAGAGGCTGGGCGTGTCACTAGGGAGGGGATGTGGAGGCAGTTTCCATCCCTTTGCCCAGGAGCACCCAGGATGTGGGGTGCGGGTCTGGAAAGCCCACACTGTCTGCGTGACCCAGCGGAGGAAGCCTGGCCGGCGCCTGCCTGCAGCTGCTGCCACTTTGGTCACGCTGCTCTGGGGTGCTGGGGGTAGGGGCGTCCTTCCGTCTCCCCGCTTCAGGAAGTTTGCTCTGGCGCGAGGTGGGGAGCAGCTTGTCTGTGCCTCTGGAGGAACTGGGTGCTGGGGGCCACACTGGGAGGCGGGGTGCAGTGTGGCAGTTCCACAGAGTGGTGTTCTGGGCAGCCACACTGGTCATCCCAGGCTGTCTTGGAGGCGTGTGCCCCCTTGGACCTGCCCCTCTGCGTGCCCCTGGCAGCCTTGTCCATCCGGTCTCCTCACTGGACCCAGCCCCACCCCTCCTGTGTGTGCCCTCTTTCTGCTGCCCTCCCCCCTTCCCTAGCTCCCCTCTTCTCTCCCTCCCCACTCCTTCCTCCCCCAGCCTCCCTCTACCCCCTTACCCTTCTCTCTCCTCCTCCCTCCCCCTCCCTCCCTCCCAGCCCTCTCCCTCTCTGTCCCAACCCCCTCCCCTTCTCCTGGTCCGGTCCTGGCTGAGCCTCTGTTCCAGCTGAGCCCCTGGTAAAGCCTTCTCTTCCACCTGGAGTGGCCTCGCTCTCCTTGTGACCCTGCCTTGACCCTATCTGGATGGTATGATGGCCGCTGCCTCTGGTCGAGGCGCTTCCTTGGGGGGCCCTGGAGAGGCTGGGCCAGGTGAGCCCTGCCTGTCATGGACCCTGCCCACAGTGTGTGGGAGGGGTGATCAGGAAGTACATGCAACTGGAGAGGGGGGCTGGTGAGAAGGGTGCCCCTCCCTGAGGAAACTGGGAATGCGTTAGCCTCTGAAGTGCTCAGGGGTGCCTCAGGGACTCAAGCTTCCTTCCTCACCCAAAAGGACATGGGGGAGGCATCCTTTGACCTCCTCCAGCCTCACGAGGGGAAGACAGAGTCACTGTCAGCAGCCTAAGGCTTGCTCCTATGAGGCCAGACATGCCACCACTCTCCAGCCTTTTACCAACTCTGACACCAGCTGCCCTCCCACGGCACTCACTACTTCTCTGTTGGGTTCGATAGCTTGTTGGGATGGCCACACAGAGCTCACAGATGATACTATCAGTTACGGGATTTATGAGGGAAATAACAGGTTCAGGTTCAGGAACGCTCTTAGGATCTAGTTCTTCCATCAGGACAGTCTCCTCTCTGCTGTGCCCTCAGACACGCCTCTCTGGCCTTTTGGCCTCTTGGCTTGGCCGCTGCCCTTCTCGGGCAAGTGTTACAGAGCTCTTTCAGATCTGCCCATAGGTCCACCTCGGTGCACCCCACTCCGCCAGCAAGTCTCCTGCCCAGAGGCACTCGCCTTTCTCACTCTGTGGGCCGCAAAGCCCGCTGCTCTGTCTCGTGTGTCTTGGTTCCACCGCCGCCATCTCCCTCCCAGGGCATCTTTGTGCCTGGACGTCGTTGCCAAGGAGGTCCGGTGCAGGGATCTCGGGTCCAAGGACGCGCTCCCTTCACCTCCAGCTCTTCTCTCGATGTCAATGAGATCCCCTCTCTCACTCTAGGAGAGCTCGTTTTAAGCCTGGCAGAGTGACAAAACTAACCAATCCTGACATTAGAATTCTACACACCTTATTTGCATGGTTCCAGCCAGGAATCTGGTGGTAGTTACAAAGACTGTGGCTAGGAAAGCCATATTGAGGAGTTCGCTGCACTGTCCCCGAGGAGGGGATGGCGGGGGTGCTGTCCCTCGCACAGTAAAGTGGTGGGACTGGACTGAGGCACCCACAGCGGGAACCATGCCTTCATCAGCTTCCAGCAGAGGGCTTCCACCCTGAAGGGAGCGACGCCCTTTTGCAAGGCCCCTCTCTGGCCATATTGCAGAGCACGGCGCCCACCTCGGGCTGCCGTGGGCCGAGGTCACCCTGCCTTGGGCCGTGGGTCATTCTGCCATGGGGTGCAGTCACCGCGCAGACTGGGGCTCCACCACGTGCCGAGCCTGCTCTCACTTCCTGTATGGGGACGGGAGTGTCAGGCAGGACGGGGGGCGCACTCACACAGCTCTCCCCCCGCCACAGTCTGCAACTTCATGTCCCATGAGAAGTGTCTGAAGCACATGAAGACCCCGTGTGCGTGCGTGGCGCCCAGCCTGGTCCGGGTGAGTGCAGCTACCCTTCTTGCCGGGGTGTCTTCCCTGGCTGGTGGGGGGATGTCTCTTCTAGAGCATGGTGCCAAGATGCTTATTGTCCACTTGAGCGTCGTGTGCCTGGTCACGGGCGCTGTTGAAAAGCATCGGGATGGAATACTACTCGGTAATGAAAAGAAGTGAGCATGGATGTGCTCGGCACCTCGAATGCCTCCCCTGGGCCTGGTGCTGAGGGAGAGAGCCCACCACAAGGGCTGCGCGAGGCCAGTCCCATTCAGGGGCGGTCCCTGCAGAGCCGGTGGATGGTTGCCAGGGATTCCTGGGTGGTCCCCACGGCGAGCGTGCTGGGCTGCCAGCCCAGGGCGATCTGAGGATGTGGGCTGGCAGATGGGCTAGGGTGGGGGTGAGAGTGGTGGCTGGGGGGTTGGCAGCCCTTTGAGGCTGTGCTCTGTCCCCACCAGGTCCCAGTGGCGCACTGCTTCGGCCCCCGGGGGCTGTACAAACGCAGGTTCTGCGCGGTCTGCCGCAAGGCCCTGGAGGCGCCTGCGCTCCGCTGCGAAGGTACTCCTGCCGGGTGTCCTGGGCCCTGGGTCCTGGGTCCTGATCTCTGCTGCCCATAGTGGCCCGGTAGGAGACGGAGGGGTGCTGCCCATAGTGGCCCAGCAGGGAGACGGAGGGGTGGCCTGGGGGGCTGACCGGCCCTGGAGCACAGCCCTGTCGGTAGCCCATGTCGGGTGATCCTGAGGTCGCACTGGGCAGCAGGTGACCTGGAAGTGCTTGTGGGGGAGGGGGGTGAGGGATACAGGGGGTCCGGCAATCAGGGTGAGGTCAGGGAGGGCGCAACCCCATTTGGCTGGGCACATGACAGCCCTGGTGCCGGCCGGTAGGGACTGAGTGACGTGGGGGTGAGGGGTGGCCAGGGCAGGCTGGCGTGGCGGCGGCCGTGACCTGCCGAGGTGCGGGGGTGCTGTGAGAGCCCCTAACCCTGCCCGCCCCCCAGTGTGTGAGCTGCACGTTCACCCCGACTGTGTGCCCTTCGCCTGCAGCGACTGCCGCCTTTGCCACCAGGACGGGCATCAGGACCATGTGAGTGTCGGGACACAGGGCGTGGTGGGTGTCGGGGGGGGCCCGGCTGATGCCATGCCTCCCCAGGACACATACCACCACCACTGGCGGGAAGGGAGCCTGCCCTCAGGCGCACGCTGCGACGTCTGCCGGAAGACCTGTGGCTCTTCAGAGGTCCTGGCTGGCCTGCGTTGCGAGTGGTGTGGCCTCCAGGTGACGGGGCTGGGCTGGGACGCGGGGCCTCCTGTGGTACCACCTCAGGGTGACGGGGAGATGGGGTGGTTGCTGTGGAACTCCCCCCACCACCATCATGGCCACCTTCCTCCCAGGCCTGCCTGCGAGGAGCTCTCATTGAGCCTTGGGGTGGGGTTCCCACTTGACAGAGGAGAATTGGGGTGCACTGTTCCTGCCTGTGGGGTTGGGGGGCTGCCTTTCCAGGGCGTTCTTGGTCCGGGGCGGTGAGCATGGGCTCTGGTGCTCAGCATGGGCCCCAGGGCAGTTCCTGGGGCCGGCCTGGACCCCTGAGGCTGCTGCCCGGGGCCCCGGCTGAGGCGTGCTGCCCTGCCGCCCTCAGGTGCACTCAGTCTGCTCATCTGCACTCCCCCCCGAGTGCTCGTTCGGGCGTCTGCGCAGCATGGTCCTGCCGCCCGCCTGTGTGCGCCTGGTATCCCGCAACTTCAGCAAGATGCATTGCTTCCGCATCTCGGAGAGCGTGGTCCCGGAGCCAGGTGAGGCCACGGGCAGTGGCGGGGCCCTGTGTCCTGTGGAGGGAGAGTGTGGTCACCAGACAGGACGTATGGGGTGTGGCGTTGCTCTGAGGCCAGTGCCCAGGGCACGGCAACAGGCAGGCCTGGTGTGGGGCTGGAAGGAGGCAGCTTGGGCAGAGCCACAGCGGGGGCACAGGGCCGCGGCAGGTTCTCGGGCCTGAGAGCAGCCCTGGGGGGGCCTGGGTGCGCGTGCCCCTCCCCCTGCACACACCAAGCTCCTGTGCTGCCCTGCCCCACAGGCGAGGGGGACGACAGTGTGGATGGAAGTGCGGTGGTGGGACCAGGCAGAGAGGCACTGGCGTCTCCAGAGTCTGGTAAGTGCCCTTCCCTATCGTCTGCCCTGCGCCCCTGCAGCTATGTTCACGAGCCCCTCCCTCCGGCCAGGCAAACAGACCCTGAAGATCTTTGATGGGGATGACAGCATTCGGCGAAACTGCTTCCGTCTCATCACCGTCCCCCGCCTCGCCAGGAGCGAGGAGGTGCTGGTAAGGGGGTCCCGTGGAGGGTGCCCGCAAGACCCTGGCCCTGGGCAGGTTCTGCGTAGGGGGTGTGGCCCGCCTGTCTGCCTGTTGCCCTTCTGCTCTGCAGGAGATGGCGCTGCGGGCATACTACGTCAGCGAGGACCCCCGTGACTTTGAGCTGCAGGCGTTGCCCCTGCCCGCACAGACTGGCGAGAGCGGGGCCCAGGGAAAAGCCTGGAGTGGCGGGGCTGCTGGGGACGACAGCGGCCGAGGCCCCGGGTCGCGAGAGCCCGTGTCCGAAGCCTGGGTCATCCGGGCCCTGCCCCGCACCCAGGAGGTCCTGAGGATCTACCCTGCCTGGCTCAAGTGAGCCTGCAGCCAGGATCCCACAGCCAGCTGGGCGTGGCCAGCAGGGCGGAGGGTGGGGCTCCCCATCTGAGTCTCAGGGTCTGCCAGATGAGGTCTGGACAGGGCAGGGAGGGGGTTTGCGCTGTCCCCAGTGGTGAGTCTCCAGTCTGTCGGATGGGGAGGGGCGTGAGTTTGAGTCAGGGTCTGCCCTACAGGGTGGGTGTGGCCTGCGTGTCTCTCCGTGTGACCCCTCAGAGCACAGTGAGGACGGTCGTGCTGGAGGTGCTCCCATTGCTTGGACGTCAGGTGCGGATGGTGGGGGCCCGGTCTGGGCCAGTGTTGGGGTCACTGGCCTGGCTGCCTGTGCATGTGCCTTGGGGTGGTTGGGGGCTGGCCCCAGGCCTGACACCCCGTCCTCTGCCCTCAGGCGGAGAGTCCTGAGAGCTTCCAGCTGGTTGAGGTGCTCATGGGCAGTAGGCAAGGTGAGCCCTGGCCCGTGGGTCTGGGCTGCTCCGGGAGGTGATGCCCAGGGCTGTGGGTCACACCCCATGTCCCAGTGCATTCTGCCCCACGGCCTGGGAGCCCAGGGTCTAGAGGCAGCCGTTGGCATAGGCGCATGCTGTTCTCTGGGGTGGCAGCGCCCCGTGCTGACGGACCGTGCCCTTGCCCTGCAGTTCAGCGCACGGTGCTGGTGGAGGACGAGCCCCTGCTGGACCGACTTAGGAACATCCAGCAGGTCTGTGAGTGTGGGCTCAGGCCCCCACTGCACACACGTGGCCCAGGGCACGAGTGGGCTTCCGTGTGTGCCCTCTGTGTCACGTGCCTGCTGTGGCTTGGGGGTGGGTAGCAGCTGGGCCTCTGTCTGGCCTGGCCTGTAGGGCATCCCCATCTGGCCCCAAGCCTGCACCGTCTCTGCTTGCTTTATCGTCCCTTGTTCCCGGCTGTGGGGCATCCTATGCCACAGGGTCTCCCCAAGCCTCCACGGGGTGGAAGGGGCTTGTTAAGAGGAAGAAAACCCTTTGCTGCCGCCCTTTTTTTTGTCGTCTTAGTTCAGCCTGGGAAGTCTCCACAGCGCCCCTTATGGATGTGGAGGGCAGGGGTGGGGAGAATGTTCGCCAGCCCCGGCCCTCAGTGTCCTCTCCCTGCAGACGTCCTTACGGCAGATGAGCCAGACGCGGTTCTACGTGGTGGAGAGCCGATCTGTGGTGCCACGTGTCTCCCTGTTTGTGGGCGGCCTGCCGTCTGGCCTTGCCCCCCAGGAATACGGCCCCCTGCTGCAGGAGGCCGTGGGCACCAAAGGTGGGTCTTTCCGGGCTGCCTGGGTACCTGGGAGAGGGGAGGGACCCCAGACGGCCGGCTCTTGGGGCTGCAGCGCCTGGCCCCTTCCCCTAGCCGTCGCCCTTGCCTTCCTCCTCGGCTCTGCTTGAGTCGGTCCCTGTCCTCTGGCCTCCCCTCCAGGCTCAGGCCAGCGCCCCTCATCCAGGAGGTTTCTGAGCCCCCTCACCCCTCCCACCACTCCCACCTGGTGCTACTCTCTGTTGTGTGCCTCCTCTACCCCCAGCCGAGGCCGGAACACTGGGTGGAGGGGGCGTGGGCCCTGATGGGGAGCTGCCCTCTGCCTGGTGGTTATGGTCAGCCTGGAACAAGGTGGGGGAGGACGTGTGGGACCGGTGCCTGGACCCCCACTCTGTCCCATGTCAGCCCTGCTGGAGCCCAGCGGCCCTGACCTTGGTCTGTCTTTGCAGCTGACGTGGTGGCTGTGAGTCACGTCTACCCCTCGCAAGGTGAGTGCTGGTGCTGGCCGGGCTCAGGCTGGGCTGAACGTCTCCCTGGTCTCCAGGGCACTTGCCCGGCTGACCTTGGTCTCGGGGGCCCCAGGGGCCGGTTCGGCAGCCAGGATTTATGCCAGGGTCTCTGCTATAAGCTCTTGCTGAAACCAGATTCTGCTCAGGCATTTTCTGCCACCCTGGGTTCTCCATCCTGATGGTGTGTTTGCATCTTTTGTTCTGGAAAATTGAAAACATGGATCCCTGCCTGCCATCACCCCCAGCTACCTCAGCACTCGTCCATTCTTTGGGGCGTGTTTTGCCCCCCAGGCTGACCCACGAGGCCCTGGGCCTCTCCCGGGCCCCCAACAGGCAGCATGTCAGCTCCTGAGCGGGGCTTGATGGAGGGGGACGCAGGGTGAGGTGTCATGTTGTACCTCCTGTGGCATCTGTGCACCTGCGCCCATTCACATTCGTGCCCTATTGCTGCCCTATTGTGGCCGTGGGCGGAGCCAGTGACTCCAGGCTCCTCCTAAGGGGGCAGGGCTTACTGGGGCAGGTGAAGTATAGCCCCTGGGTGCGGCCTTCCGGATGAGCTGACCTGAGCTGGCCATGGCTGGAACTGGGAGCAGTTTTGGCTTCGGGAGGGGGCCAAGGCCCCACCCTGGAGCTCATGCCCGCCTGTGCAGGCGCCCTGGTGCTGGATGTCACCTGCTTCGCAGAGGCTGAGCGGCTCTACATGCTGGTCAAGGACACGGCCGTGCAGGGCCGCCCGCTCACGGCCCTGGTGCTCCCTGACGTGCTGGTAAGTGGCCAGTGGGACTCCTGGTGTGGGGGCAGCGCTGCAGGGACCTGGGGCGATGGCTGCTTTTCAAACGCTCGAGTGGCGGGGCTTTCCTGGGAGGTCTCCATGGACACGCTTTTCTCTTCGTCACCTTCGTTGGGCTCTTGGGCAGTGCCGTGCCACGTTGCCAGCCCAGAAAAGACATTGTCGATCCCGTTGTACCCTGAGCGGGTGTGGTCAGTGGGCAAGCGTCTGAGGCTGCCTGGCAGGTGAGCCGTTGAGCCCTGGCCAGGAAAGACATCCTCTCCTATGTACTCTGAGGGGCGAGGTTAGAGTCTGCCTGGCCTGAGTGAGGCTGCCTGGCAGGTGAGCGGCCGAGCCTAGCCCGTTTGTCCACATGGTCGGCTCTGTGAGGACACGGTGGACCAAGTGCCCAGAAGATGGGAGCACTGGCCGAGGCCCTGAACCCACAGGATAGTGTTCCCTGCCCCTCCCCCCGGCTGTACCTGGCCAGCACCTCTGTAGTGACCGCCTCACTACAGCGCCCCAACGGTGGTGGTGACCACTGACGAACATCCCGTCGGGCCCCTGCCCTCTTGGGTCACCAGGCACTGGCCTCTCTCACCTGGTGACCGAGGGCCCTGCTGGTCCGTGCACAGGCTGCCTCCAGCCAGTAGGTGGTGCTCCCTGACTTTGTGCCCCATCCTGGAGACCCCTGCCCTGCCCTCCTGGCTGTACCTTCCCAGCAGCCATTTGGTCCTCTGACCGACCGGCCTGAGGGGTCCGCAGCTGTTCTCTCCCTGACCCCAGACCAGGAGAAGCCTGAATAGAGCAGGCAGAAGGCTAGAGGTTCAAACCCACCAGCCACTGCTCAGAAGGAAGGTTGGCCAATCTACTTCCACAGCGATACTCCCTCGGAAACCCAAGGACGGGTCGCCATGAGTTGGACTCGACTCAGTGGCAGTGAGTTTGTTTTTTTTTTTTTTTGGTAGTTTGTGTCTGTGCCTGGTGACAGGCCATTCTGTCACCCCAAAGATGCAGCCATAGGTCAGGGTCCTGACCTCTGGCCTGGCTCCGCGGCAGAGCCAGGCGGTAGGGCCGATGCATGTTTCTTATCTTTTCTGTTAGCTGTCTGCATGCAGGTGAGCAGGTAAGTCGTGACCACAGGGCAGCTCTGCCACCACGTGGTCCAAGTGTGTCCCCAGTGTGTCCCCAGTTGTGTTCTTGGCCTCAGGCCATGGTGGAGCGTGTGTGCTGTCAGCACCACCTGTCTGAGCCCCGCTTGGCTGTCTGCTTTAGTCACCCCACCTTGTAGGGAGCCCAGCCCCCCGTCGTAGGACCCCTAGCCGTGGACCCCAGTGTTGTAGGGATGCTGTGTCTGTCCTTGGCTCTGCACTCTCCAGGGTGACGTGTGGGTGGTGGCCTTGTCACTGTGGCTGAGGGAGACGGCAGCTCCTGGACGTTGAGTGGGAGGCAGGGGGTAGGGGCTACAGAGTGGGGCTGGCCAGGAGCCTTGCTCCTGCACACGCAGACGGCCCCCTAGGACCAGCGCTCAGCCAGGCGGCAGCACCGGCAGGGGCTTGTTCTCCAGCCCGGGTGTGTGGACACGTGGAGTCTGGGTAGCCGTGTCACAGGTATGGCGTGGCTCATGTACGGCGTGGAGCTCCTGGCAGGGATGGCTGTGTGGCCCCCAGCCTTGTGTGAAGGCGTGGCTGTGGCTTCCTTGGGAGAAGGCTGGCTTGACCTGTGGGACCCATGGTCCTGGGAAGCCCAGGGCAGGGGGGGGACTTGGGAGCGGGGGCTGGGGAGGCAGTCACTTGGTCATGGCATGGCACAGGGGTGCCACTGCTCGGTGTCGGGGGCTCATCACTCGGTCACTGCCTGGCATAGGGGACGGTCACTCACTGTCTGTCCAGTGTTAGTGGCTGGTCACTTGGTCACTGCCCGGCATGGGGGGCTGGTCACTCCATCACTCCCCAGCGTGGGGGGTAGTCACTCAGTCACTGCCCAGTGTTAGTGGGTGGTCACTTGGTCACTGCCCGGCGTGGGGGGTGGTCACTTGGTCACTGCCCAGCGTGGGGGGCAGTCACTGCCCAGTGTTAGTGGCTGGTCACTGGGTCACTGCCCGGCATGGGGGAGGCAGTCACTGCGTCACTACCTGGCGTGGGGGAGGCGGTCGCTGGGTTACTGCCCGGTGCGGGGGGCAGTCACTCAGTCACTGCCCGGTGTTAGTGGGTGGTCACTTGGTCACTGCCTGGCATGAGGGGACTGGCCACTTGGCCACTGCCCAGCGTGGGGGGCAGTCACTGCCCAGTGTTAGTGGCTGGTCACTGCGTGGGGGAGGCGGTCGCTGGGTCACTGCGCGGCGTGGGGGAGGCGGTCCCGGGGTCCCTGCCCGGTGTGCGGGAGGCGGTCGTGGGGTCACTGTCCGGGGAGGTGGCCGCAGGGTCGCTGCGCGGCGTGGGGGAGGCGGTCCCGGGGTCCCTGCCCGGTGTGCGGGAGGCGGTCGTGGGGTCACTGTCCGGGGAGGTGGCCGCAGGGTCGGTGCCCGGCGTGGGGGAGGCGGTCGCGGGGTCACTGTCCGGGGAGGTGGCTGCAGGGTTGCTGCCCGACGTGGGGGAGGCGGTCGCTGGGTCGCTGCGTGGCGTGGGGAGGCGGTCGCTGGGTCACGCGGCGTGGGGGAGGCGGTTGCAGGGTCACTGTGCCGCGTGGGGGAGGTGGTCGCGGGGTCCCTGCCCGGCGTGGGGTAGTCATCTGGCAGTCCCAGTCAGGGGTCGGTCATGCCAGCAGCTCTGGTCAGAGGGCAGCCTATCGTAACCCACTCCTCATCCGTCAGCATGCAAAGCTGCCCCCAGACTGCTGCCCCCTCCTCGTGTTTGTGAACCCCAAGAGCGGGGGCCTCAAGGGTCGAGACCTGCTCTACAGTTTCCGGAAGCTGCTGAATCCTCACCAGGTCTTCGAGCTGACCAATGGCGGGCCTCTCCCAGGGTGAGAGTGGGGGCGGGGGGGTCCGGTTGCTGCCCTCCCTTCCGCTCTGGCATGCTCGTGGGGGGGCAGGTAGGCAGGTGGGCACAGGGAGGGCGGAGTTGTGCCCACAGACCTGGGGACAGTGATTGAGCTGCAACAGGGTCCTCAGCCCTCCATGGGGCAGGAGCCTGATGTGTGGGTGAAGGGGAGTCCTGCTTCTGCTCTGGGGGTCTGGCCAGACAACATGTCCTGCCTCCCACTCCTGCTCCCTTGGCAGGTCCGGGCCAGCTCCCCAGGGGCCGTGGCGAGACGTGTCCCGTCTCCCCCACCAGGTTCCACACGTTCTCCCGGGCTCCCCGCTTCCGGGTGCTGGTGTGTGGCGGGGATGGCACCGTGGGCTGGGTGCTCGGTGCCCTGGAGGAGACGCGCCATCGTCTGGCCTGCCCCCAGCCCTCTGTGGCCATCCTGCCCCTGGGCACAGGTGGGTGCAGCCAGGGCTGGGGAGTGTGGGCCACGGGGCTTGTCTCTTCCTGCCCTTGAGTTTTGCTCCAGGTCCGTGGTGGTCTTAGGCCCCTCTGACCCCAGGTCTCTGTCCCCTGACGAGTGGGTGGGTGTCGGGAGCCACTCCGTATCTTGCTCACATCCTAGGGAATGACCTTGGCCGAGTGCTCCGCTGGGGGGCGGGCTACAGTGGCGAGGACCCCTTCTCTGTGTTGGTGTCTGTGGACGAAGCCGACGCCGTGCTCATGGACCGCTGGACCATCCTGCTGGATGCCCACGAGGCCAGTGGCTCGGAGAACAGTGTGGCCGACGTGGAACCCCCAAAGGTGCGCCCGAAGAGGAGGTGCCTGTGTGTGCTGTCACCCGTCCCCTGGAATGCCCCCCCACACCCCCTTGTGCCAGCGCCGCAGCCGTTTCTGCTTAGAGAAGGGGCCCTTGCTGGCGCTCAGGCCCAGGCCTGGCTAAAGCCTCGCTGTGCCGCGTGGCACACTGCCCTCCCCTGAGGTGCTGGGCAGCCGGGGTGGCTTAAGCAGGGGAATTCCCACGCTCTGGCAGCGGTGGAGGACGTGGGTTGGAGAGCCCGGGAGCAGCTAGCGTCGGGTGCCTTGTCCCCAGATCGTCCAGATGAACAACTACTGCGGGATCGGCATTGACGCGGAGCTGAGTCTGGACTTCCACCAGGCCCGGGAGGAGGAGCCTGGCAAGTTCACGAGCAGGTACGGAGGAGGGGGAGCTGCAGTCCGGGGACTCCTTCCGGCAGGGCAGGGGCGGCCACCTGGCGACAGCTTGCTTCCGGGGGATTCGCCAGCGGGGAGGGGTGCAGCAGGGGGCTGGAGCCCAGGGGCTGCTTGAGGCTCAGCAGAGGCTCTCCACCCTGCAGGTTCCACAACAAAGGTGTGTACGTGCGGGTCGGGCTGCAGAAGATGAGCCACTCGCGCAGCTTGCACAAGGAGATCCGCCTGCAGGTGGGGCAGCACGAGGTGGAGCTGCCGAGCATCGAGGGCCTCATCTTCATCAACATCCCCAGGTGCGGGCGGGCGGGCGGCCCGAGCGCCTGCCAGACTTGGGCTCTGGCTCCCCCACGGCGTGGCCGCCGGACCCCTACGTGTGGCCCACGCTCTCCCCTCCCCCGCGCACAGCTGGGGCTCGGGGGCCGACCTGTGGGGCTCCGACAATGACTCGAGGTTTGAGAAGCCGCGCATCGATGACGGGCTGCTGGAGGTGGTGGGCGTGACCGGCGTCGTGCACATGGTGAGTGGCCAGGCAGGGGGCTGGGCCGTCCCCTCCACGCCACAACGCCGTGGCCCCGGCTGAGCCCCGCTCGCCCCTCCAGGGTCAGGTCCAGGGTGGGCTCCGCTCTGGCATCCGCATCGCCCAGGGCTCCTACTTCCGCGTCACACTCCTCAAGGCCACCCCCGTGCAGGTCGATGGTGAGCCCTGGGTCCAGGCTCCTGGCCACATGATCATCTCGGCTGCGGGGCCAAAGGTACGTGGGCTGTAGTGGGTGAGGCCGGGACACAGAGCCAGTGTGGAGGTGGGCTCGGGGTCAGGCAGGCTGGGCCCTGCGAGTGGTTGGTGGCAGCCTAGGGAGGGCGTGAGGACCAGGTAGGAATGGCTGACTCCTTCTGGGGACCGTCTCGGCAGACGAGCTCACCTTAGGCCTCAGAGGAGGGCTGTGTGGCGTTTGGGGGGGGCTGGGGGTGGGCCGCGTGAGCCCAGCTCTGCCCCCCACTAGCTTAAGCTTCATTTCTGGTCTGGAGTCCTTGGTGCTGGGTCAGCCTTCAGCGCACGCACAGCCCAGACCCCCAGGCTGCTGACAGCTCCGAGCCCCCTTAACTTTCCTGCCTCGTGACAGGTTCACATGCTGAAAAAATCCAAGCAGAAGCCCAGGAAGGCTGGAGGCGGCCCCAAGGAGGCCAGAGTGGATGTGACACCCGCCCCGGCGGGGGATGCCAAGTAGAGGCATTGGTGGGAGGCTGAGGAAGGCCGAGGAGTAGCCCTGCACCCACCCTGGTTCACCGCTTGGGCAGCAGCCTTGTCCTCATGGTGTCTTCCTGGGACTGTGTGCCTGGGGACGTCTCCATCTCGGGCCTCATCTGGTGCCACGTCCCGTGGAGGCTGCTGGAAGGGTGATGGGTGTGTCCATGTAGTGGGTGGCCGTGGGGCTCAGCTGAGGCCCTTGTGGGGTGCACGCTGCCACTCAGCCACACGGGTCAGTGGGACCCAGCTGCAGGCCTGGCGTCAGACACGGGACCCCACCACCCTCACCTCCAGGGCCCTTGCAGGATGCAGCCAGCTGGTGGCCCTCGCCTCATCGTGTGCCCATTAGGCCCCTGGGATAGCCGGCTCTGTGGGCAGCCCAGGGCACGCATGACCACATCTCCTGCAACTCAGCACAGACACAGCAGGGCCCCGTGTCACTTCATCTAAGAGCACCACGTTCTGTCCAGGCATGGTTTGGCCTGCCTCGGCAGCTCCTGACCAGGCCCTGGTGGGCACTGTGGGCAGGACATGCCAAGTGTTGGGCTCTGTTTAGCCCCTGTGCTGGCCTGCTCGCAGCTGCACTGTGCAGTCAGGGCAGGTCTCTTGGGATGCCCCAAGGTTGGTGAGAAGCAGCCTTGCCAGCAGGTGGCAGTGTGGGGCTGTGCTAAGGAGTAGGTGAGGAAGGGAGGCTGTGGACAGGCCAGGGGCCTGCCCCTCCCGGCCCCCTGGTGGGGCGTCTGCCTGGAACAGAAAGAAGGGACCAGAAAAGAAGCTGGTGAGGGCTCACTGTCGCCCCTCGAGGCATGTGGTGTAGGTGACAACACTGAGTGGGCAGGGGAGCAGCTTTCATCACCTGGGTCCACATCCAGGGTGTCCACGGCCAGCTGCCCGCCAGCTGCATGCCAACGACCAGTTCTGTGCTGTGTCGGTGATTCTAGGCTTCAGTGTGTAACCGCCCCTCCCTGACTCACGGGCCCAACCGAGGTGGCTGGGGTGGACCAGGCAGCAGGTCAGGCCACACGGGAAGGGGGTTGGAGGCTATTTTAGCCAACAGCCCCCAGGCGTGGTGAGCCAGAACTGCAGTTCCCTGGGGCCCAGTGACTGCCCACGGGGACGGAAACAGTCACAACTCCATGGGAAGTCTCCTAGGGCACCACCCCAAAGGGGCAATCTGGCTCCAGACTCCCCGTTTCCCTTGGACTGACCAGCCTGCTGCTGCCGGAGCTGCAGCAGGCGCACTGGCCGAGGGGCCTGGGGCCTGGGGCCTTGTCCGAGGGTTGGCCACGGAGCAGGCCCTCCGCCCGTGGCACCCCTCCCCACCCTGTGCTTTTTGCCAAAACCACACAAGTGCATCTGAGGCTGCTCTGGCCGGTTGCTCACGTGCCTCCGGCATTCACGTGCCTGCGTCATCCACAAGCACGCACGCTGTTCCTCGTGGTGCATTCATTCTGCTTTGCGAGCTGCGGTGCTGTCTGTAGGTTACGGTCAGGGCGGACTTGTGCGTCTGTGAGTGTGTGTATGTGTGCTGGATTTGTGGCGGGCAGCTCGACCATACTTGCACTGAGTGGAGCCCTGTCCTGTGTAATTTATAGCTTCCTGAATGTAATAATTTATGTCTGTGACAAATACAGTGCTGGGTCTCCCTGGTCTCTGTGAGTGTGACTTTGAAGGTGCCCCATGTGTGGGGAGGGGGCAGGTGGTACGGCAGCTCCAGGACGCAGGGCCCGTCCCGTCCCTGGGGCCTGGGCGTGGCATGTGGGGTGGGTGGGCCACAGTGGGCAGCTCCTGAGGGGTGACTGGCTGAGCCTGCAGCCTTAAGGGACACGTGCCCTTGGGGTCCAGGCAGAGGAGAAAGGGCTGAAGTCCAGGGCCATGACCCACCCCCACTCACCCACCCAGCTCACACCCTCTTTTCCAGCCCAGGCCGCCCCTGGGAGACCCACCCGTCTCGAGCCCTGCCGCTCCACTTCTCAGATCAGCTCCTATAGTTAATCAGAGTAAGATCATCACCATGTTGACAAGATGCCTTCGGGCGAGGGAGGGAAACACAGACACTGACCAAACAAGAGTGAGGTTTCCACAAAGAAGCTGGGCCTGCAAAGACCAGGGAGCAACCAGAAGGCTCTAGGATATTGCGGACTGACCCTCGGCTGGCCTGTGCCCACAAGGAGTTCCCCACCTAGCCGTCCTCTCCTTCCGTGTCACTCTCAGGCTGCAGACGTGGACACAGGGTGGTGCTGCGGAGGGAGTTGGGGGCACAGTGTGCTCCCTGGAGCAGGGGTCCAGGTCGGAGTAGATAGAGCAGGCATCCAGGTGGGGAGATGTGCCGCTGGGCCTCTAGCAGGGAGCAGGGAGGAGCTGGGCCTGTGCGTCGGCAGCTCCCTGGTCGTTGCGCAGGGGCCCTGCTGGCCGGGTCAGGCCCCGCAGGCCCCGCAGGCCCCGCAGGCCGGCCAGGGCCAGGCGCAGGCCCAGGCGCAGGAGCAGGAAGGCGAAAGGCACGGCAACCTGCATGAGGTGGAAGATGGCCGTGCTGAAGCGCCGCAGGAAGCAGGTGGAGGCGAAGGCCAGCAGACTGGCGCACGGGTAGAGGGCCAGCTTGGCGAACATGAGTGCGTGCTCCCGGCCGCCGAAGCGCGCCGACGGGCGCAGGGCCTCCCGCTGGCGCAGCAGGGCCGCGGTCCACGTGGCGAACTGGAAGATGCTGGCGAAGAAGATGATGGCGCAGCTGACCCGGATGCTCTCCAGCTCCTCGTGGGGCTGCTGCGCCAGCGCCGAGGTCCGCTGGTAGGCCAGCGGCAGGCCGCCCACGAAGGCCAGCGCCAGCGTGTTGAGCAGCCCCATGGCCCGCGTGGCCCTGCGCACGTGCAGGAAGAGGGAGTGGTGGACGAACCAGAGCAGGCCCACGGTGGCGAAGGAGCCGAAGTAGGCCAGGAAGTGCGGCCCGAAGCTGCCCAGGGCTGTGACGAGGCTGCCCTGGAACTGCTCCTCCACGTCCTTGGGGTCCGGAACGTTGTCCTCGCTGGGGACAGCAAACGGATGGCGTTGGCGCCAGCCCCGCCTCGCTCGCGCAGGGCGGCCCTGCCGTGGCACGGGAGGGCGTCTGGTTGGTGCACAGCCCCCCCTAGAGCTCTCTCTGGCTGGGTCAGTGCCGTTCTCCGTGCCTGCTCGGGGCGGGGTGGCCTGTGGGGGTCTGTGTCCACACCCCCGCAGCCGCCCTCATGCCTCCAGGCGGTTGGGTGCTGGCATACCTGCGGCTCTCAGACAGGCAGGGAGTCTGCAAGCTCAGATTCCTGAGCCCTGGCCAGGGTGGGACCAGGAACAGACACTGCTGACAAGCGTCTGCTGGCAGGTACCCTGACCTGGCTGCACCAGGGAATCAGGGAACCTGCAGTTGGTCCTGCTCGGCCACCCAGATCTAAACTTAGGCAACGAGCCTGTCCATCGAGGGGATGGGGATGCCAGTGTTTCTGGACGTAGCCCAAGAGGGCGCTCATCTCTGAAATGCCGGGCTGCACAGGCGGTCCCTGCACTGGCCACCCACCTCAGGAAGACCCTCAGGGGAGGTGCTCATGCTGCAGGGTGCCCTGGGGGCCTTCTGAAACCCGGGGCCTGAAGCTCGGGTTTGAAGGGTGGCAGAGGTGGGGGCGCAGGCATGGCTGGGGGCGTGGGCACGGTGGGTGGGAGCGGTAGCACGGAGGTACAAGCACAGGTGAGGGTGCAAGCATGGGTGGGGGTGAGGGGCGAGTCTGGGGAGGTGGGTGAGTGCACAGGTGAGGGCGCAAGCATGGGTGGGGGTGTGGGGGTGAGTCTGGGAGACACACGGCCAGTAGGGGGCAGACTTCTCGGTCCAGGCTCTGCATGGGGGAGGGAAGAACACCGGCCCCTGGGAGGCCCTCAGCAGGGGCAGGTCATTCAGCAAGGACCACTTGAGCCAGACGGGCCCTGGCTGCAGAGTGAAAGCAAAGCAGATCATTCTGGAATGTTCTTTAAATCCAGACCTTAAAGATGAAATAGCAGTGAGGATGTACTCCCAATTTTAAAGACCTTGCACAAGTTACTGAAGGAAAAAGCTATGGAGAGAGAGTCGGGTGTCTTAGACTGTAGGTTGTCAGCCGGACAGAATCAGACGTTTAGGTACCAAAAGCAAAACCAAACCAAACCTGCTGTCCAGTCAAATCCGACTCACAGGGACCCCGCAGGACAGAGCAGAACTGCCCTGTAGGGTTTCCAAGACTGTCATCTGGACAGGAGCAGACGGCCATGCCATTCTCCCACGGATATGGAGCACGGAATTGGCCTCACTGCACAAACTGTGCATGTGGAACAATGACTAAGGGACTGAAGACACTGAGGGAAGGACCAGCGACGTGTGAAACTACCAGAAGAAAGGTCTGGACAGAAGAACGCGGTGATTAAAAGCAGAAAATTCACGGGCAGACGGTGGAGGGTCAGGCTGCCCAGGAGGGAAGACCACAGTGAGGGGACTGACGCAGGGCTCAGAAGGCCTGACCAGAAAGGGGGCAGGGGCCCTGGAGGAGGCAGGGCCCCCAGCGGCGTGGCTCCCCAGGTGTGGCTGGCAGTCTAGATGGAACTCTGGGAAGGGGGGGAGGTGGGGCAGGGCTCTCCAGGTGCCCCCACCTGCCTGCTCTCTGGGCAGCTCTGTCCTCCCTGGGGTCCTGGACACCAACTCCCCCTGGGAAGCTCTGGGCAGCCACCTCAGCCGCCTGGTGCACCCAAAAGGCTCAGATCTGCTCACACCAGGTGAGGCAGGGGCAGCAGGTGGGCTCTGGCTGGGAGGCCCTGTGGCTGTCGCTGCCCATCCCGCCTCTGTCCCCGGGTCCTACCAGATGTCAAGGATGAGAAGGGTGGCCACGATGGCGTAGACGCCGTCGCTGAAGGCCTCCACGCGTTCCTTGCTGAGGGGCTCGTGCAGGTCGAAGGTGAAGAAGTCCAGGCTCTGGGCGGGGGGCTCCCCTGGGCCTGACAGGGAAGAAGGAGCTGACCCACCCTGCACAGGGCCGTGGGGACAGCCCCCCAGCTCTGTGCTTGTCCCAAGGGGCTGGGGTCTGAAGCGTGGGGGGAGTGGGGAGGACACCCAGGTGGATGGCTGACCAGGAGAGGCAGCCTCAGCCTCATTAAGTGTGCGAGCCTGTCCACACTCGAGTTCACACACGCAGCACGAAGACCTGAGTGATGCTGCCGGGGCCTGGAGGCTCATGCTGTCACCACATAGGGGGACCTGGAGACCCGTGTAGTCATTGCATGGTGGGACCTCAAGGCTCACCCTGTCACTGTGTGGGGGGACCTCAAGGCTTACGTAGTCATTACACGTGGGGACCTCAAGGCCCGCACGTGGGGACCTCAAGGCCCGCACAGTCACCACGGGGGGGGGGGCGACTTCAAGGCTTGTGTAGTCACCATGTAGGGGGCCTCAAGGCCCACACTGTCATTACGTGGGGGCACCCTGAGGCCCACACAGTCACTACATGGGGGGGACCTGAGGCCCGTGCAGTTACCAAACGGGGGGAGTTCGAGGCTCATGCACTCATCACGTGGGGGACCTCGACACTCGTGCAGTCACTCCGTGGGAGGACTGGGGGCCAGGCCTCTCCCTCCACTCCACGTCCCCCTGAGTCAGCCTCCCGCAGACCAGCTGCCCGGGGAGGTGGGGACCTACCCATAATCCTGTCCCTGCACCAGCCGGCTGCTTTGCTGAGGTAGGGGAGGAAGATGACCGTCGCCATCAGCAGGTAGGACTGGGAACAGAGAGACGGCAGCGTTAACACGGGGCTCGCAGCCTCCACCCACCTGGGGTTTCATGCCACCTGGAGCCCAGGACCCACTAGGAAGCCCACTCAGAGACGCTCTGTTCAGAAGAGGAGAGCAGCTCAAGCAACAAAAGAGAAGAGAAACTGGACTTCATCAAAATGGGAAATTTCCATGAGTGAGAAGGCAGTCCCTGGAAGAGGAGATGGTGGGAACTCACTGCCCGGTGAGGGCTCCCAAGGACCAGCTGCCACTGGGTCATCTCCGACTCCTGGTGACCCCACCGTGTCAGAGTGGAACTGTGCACCATGGGGTCCCCAGTGGCTGGCCCTTCAGAAGTGGGTCACCAGGCTTCCCCACCAAGGCAGCTCTGGGTGGACCCCAGCCAGCAACCTTTCAGTTAGTAGCACAGTGCACCAATGGTGGACACCACCCAGGGCCTTCTGATACGGGCCTGGTACCCAGAATGCATGGAACTCTTACAACTCAACAACAAAAAGACAAATGGCCTAAATGAAAAAATGGATAAAGGATGCGAACAGACATCTCTCCAAAGAAGATACACAAATGGACAACAAACACTTAAGAAGAGGCTGGATGTTCTTAGTAGTTAAATAAAAAAAAAAAAACCAACCCCTGCCATTGAGTCGATTCCGACTCATAGTGACCTCCTTTGGGTTTCCAAGGTGGTAAATCGTTACGGAAGTAGATTGCCCCGCCTTCCTTCCGCAGAGTGGCTGGTGGCTTTGAACTGCCAGCCTTCTGGTTAGCAGTCAAATGCCTTCAGCACTATGCCTTAAACCAACCCCCCCCCCCAAAAAAAAACCCACTGCTGTTGAATCAATTCTGAGCCACAATGACCCTTTGGGACAGAGTGGAACTGCCTCATAGGGTTCCTAAGGCTGGAAGTCTGTATGGAAGCAGACTGCCTCCTCCTTCTCCCATGGAGCGGCAGGTGGGTCTGAACCACCAACCTTTTGGTTGGCAGCCAAGCACTTTAACCACTGTACCACCTGGGCTCCTCCATTAGTCATCAGGGAAATGTAGATCAAAACCACAGTGATGTATCACTTCATACCCATGGAAATGGCTACTATAAAAAAGTCAGAAAATAGCAGGTGTTAGTGATGGTGTGGAGAAACAGGAAGCCTGGTGCATTGCTGCTGGAAAGTATGGTGGCGTGGCCACGGTGACAGTCACCTGCTTCCTCCAAACCTGAGCCAGAACTACTGGACGGTCCAGCACTTCCCTTCAGGTACCAGAGACTGGAAAGCAGGAGCTCAGAGGCTTGTACCCCTGTGTTCACTGCAGTCTTAGTCACAATAGCAAAAGGTGGGGACAACCCAAGCATGGCAGTTGTGTGTCATCTTGGCTGGGCTGTGGCTTTGAGTGGCTGGGCAGCTGGATGTAGTTGTGGCCCATGATAAACTGGCCTGGCGTAATCCCCTCCATGGTGGAATCTGCTGTGAGCAGATGAAGGAGTTCCCTTCGGGGTGTGGCCTGTGTCCAGTATATCCAGAGAAGCTCCTACAGCTCCTTCAGTCTTTATCTCCAGTTCTTGGACTTGAACTGGTGGCCTATCGTATTGCTTGTTGATCTTGAGATTGTTGCCTGCACAGCCAGCGAACCAAACGGTGTGCCATCTTACCTGCCGATCGTGGGTTTGTCAGCCTGAGCAGCCAGCTGCTGCGTGAGCCAGGATAAGCCTCCAGCTTGCTCCATGGTTTGGAAGGCAGGGCTGAAGCCCAAGGTCGAGGGGTCCCTACCAGCCCCTAGAGCTGGCACTGTGAACTGGGACTTCTACCCTCCTAAACTGTAAAAGAATAAAGCCCTGTTTGTTCAGCCTTCCACTTGGGGTATTTCTGTTGGAGCAGCACTAGAGAACCAAGACTCCAAGCTGGCATCAACTTGGAGATGGCCGCTTCTCCTTGTCTGCCTTTGGCCCCGGTGAGGAGGCAGTACAGGAACAATGTCCCGCGCCCATCGGTGTCATCTGTGACCACACAGGGACCAGCAGGCCTGGGGTCTTACTGCTCAGCTCAGGCGAGGTGAGCCGGGCCGGCTACTCTGCCTCCACGCTCCCTCAGCTGTGCCGCCAGGATCTGACAGAACGTGAAGCTCCGAGGTGAGGCCATCCTAGGCTCGACGTCCTGAGGGCAGGTGAACCTGCGTGTTCTTCGCTTCCGCGGCCCTCCTCCTCGTTACAGTGGTTGCACATCCTGCACGGTGACTCTCCCCAAGCAGGGCCTGGCCTCAGCTCCTCCCCTGTCAACAGTGGGACTTCGTCTCTGTCTTCTCCCTTTCTCTGGCTCCTTCTGATGCCGGGACGTTTTCTTTCTGGACAGCTCATCCTCCAGGCATATTCGGGAACAGACGGAGCTCACCTGCTGGCGAAGCGCACCCTGCCCCGGGCTGGTCCTGGAGCATGACCACCCGTGGCCTGCAGGGAGGACTGTCCCAGTGGTCTGAACACCCATGGCCTGCAGGCCATCTTGTCCCGGTGCCCTGACCCCCTGTGGCCTGGAGGGTGCAGTGTGCCGGTGCTCTGACCATCTGCGGCCCTATGGGGAGTCCCGTCCCGGTGCTGGGACCACCAGAGCCCACGGGACTTCCTGTCTCAGTTCACTGGTGTGTGGGTTCTCACCCTGGAGTCTCCTGGGGTCTTGCTTTTGGTTCGAGTCACTGCACCAGACTCAAGGACAGGCCAGGCTGAGTCATGGTTTTCAGGGGAAAGGGCGTTGATACCCTGCTGCTCTGAGCTGGGTCATTTCTTCACCCCAGGCCCCGAGAGGCAGGAGCCCCACTTCCTCACTCCATGCACATGGCATCAGCCCTGGGGTCCTTGGATGGAGCACACGTGCTCCCCTGCACCATGGCCTCCAGCCTTGGCCGGGCATGGACATATACGCAGTGGGCAGGCCTGGTCTCCACGCCCTTCCCCTACCCCCATCCTGCGCCAGGCTCCCACGTCCTGGGCCCACACCCTGTGCACTGGGGCCCTGTGCCCCGCCCCTGTGCCCCGCCCCTGTGCCCCGCCCCTGTGCCGACAGTACTCGCTGGGCAGCTCCTCCCCTGGGAGGCCCCCAGCAGCGGGGAGCCTTACCACAGGGAAGAAGAACAGGGAGAAGAGAGCGGCCACAAAGCACAGCGCGGGGCCACGGAGGACGACGCCCAGCACGTGCTGCCGGAAGGCGGCCTTGTGGGCCGAGTGCGAGATCCGCTGGTTCAGGAGGTGCGGGTAGTGGAATGCGTAGCCCACGATCACCGCCTGTGGGGAAAAGCAGGCTGCCGGGGCCTGACCACCCAGCGCCCAGCACCCCACCTCCTCTACCCTCAGCCACACAGTCAGGCTCCCAGTAGCCCGAGGCCTTCCCCCTGTGTGGTGGTGTGTGGAGGGTGGAGAGGGCCAGGCCTTCCCCTGGCGTGGTGGTGTGTGGAGGGTGGAGAGGGCCAGGCCTTCCCCTGGC